GGCATCAGACCATACTTTCTACCCCTTTGCGACAACCAACGCGCAGGACTTCAAGAACCTCATGTCTGTGTACCTCGACTCAACATTGCACCCGCTGCTCAAGAAGTCCGACTTTACTCAGGAGGGTTGGCGAATTGGTCCTGAGAACCCACTTGCTGAGGACGAGGCGAGCAAGAAGTTGGTATTCAAGGGTGTGGTTTACAACGAGATGAAGGGCCAGATGTCAGATGCTGGGTATTTGTACTACATTCGCTTCCACGACCATATCTTCCCCGATATCAATAACTCGGGTGGCGACCCCCAGAAGATCACAGACTTGACATACGAGCAACTGCGAAAGTTCCACGCCGAGCACTACCACCCCAGCAATGCCAAGGTCTTCACTTATGGTGATATGCCCTTGGTTGACCACTTGCAGCAGGTCGATGCTCAGCTCCAGGCTTTTGAGAAGATCCAGGGTGACAGGCAAATTCACGAACCCGTAACACTGAGCGGCCCCAAGGAAGTTACTCTGTACGGACCACTTGATCCTCTTGTCGACCCTGACCGCCAGTACAAGACCTCTGTGTCATGGATCATGGGTGACACCACAGATGTGTTGGAGTCTTTCTCTCTGGCACTTTTATCAACCCTCTTGATGGACGGGTATGGTTCTCCTCTATACCGAGGTCTTGTTGAGGCTGGCATGGGTGCTGATTGGAGCCCCAACGCTGGATATGATAGCTCTGCTAAGAAGGGAATTTTCTCTATCGGTCTCACTGGTGTTCAGGAGGCTGATGTTCCTAAGCTCAAGGAGAAGGTTCAACAGATCTTGAGGGAAGTCCGAGAAAAGGGTTTCGACAAGACCAAAATTGATGGATCTCTCCATCAGCTCGAGTTATCGCTCAAGCATAAGACTGCCAACTTTGGATTCTCCATGCTGAACCGTCTCAAGCCCAAGTGGTTCAACGGTGTGGACCCCTTTGACTCCCTGGCTTGGAACGATACCATCAATGGTTTCCAAGCTAAGATGGCTGAGGGCAACTATCTAGAAGGTCTTATTGACAAGTATCTACTCAACGATAACACTTTGACATTCACAATGGCCCCCTCAACCACCTACGGGGAGGATCTTGTCAAGGAGGAACAGGAGCGACTTTCTACCAGAATCCAGGCAGCTATTAAGGAGGCTGGCAGCGAAGAGAACGCCCGGAAGCATTTCGAGAAGCAAGAGCAGGAGTTGCTGGTTGAACAAAACAAGACCAACACTGAGGACCTCGGCTGTCTGCCCACTGTCCACGTCAAGGATATCCCCCGAAGCAAGGAGCCTGTGGTTGTGCGAGACGAGAATGCCAACGGCACCAAGATCCAGTGGCACGAGGCTCCTACAAACGGCTTGACATACTTCCGTGCCATAAACACGTTGGAGAACTTGCCTGATGAGCTTCGCGAGCTGGTCCCTCTGTTTACCGACAGCATCATGCGCCTTGGTACCAAGGACTTGAACATGGAGCAACTTGAAGACTTGATCAAGCTGAAGACTGGTGGTGTTTCAGTTGGTTACCACTGCACTCCATCCCCCACCGATTTCCACGCTGCTAGTGAAGGTCTCATCTTCACCGGTATGGCCCTGGATCGCAACGTTCCCGTCATGTTCGATATCATCCAAAAGCTCGTTTTGGGAACTGATTTTGACAGCCCAGAGGCAGCTCTCAGGATTCGACAGCTGCTGCAGGCATCTGCTGACGGTGTTGTGAACGATATCGCATCCACTGGCCATCGGTTCGCGATGGGTAGTGCTGAGTCTGGTCTCACCCGCTCCTCGTGGCTTCGACAACAAGTTTCCGGCCTTTCTCAGGTGCAGCTGGTGACTTCTTTGGCTAGCCGACCCGAGACAGACAAGCTTGAGGATGTTATCTCCAAGTTGAAGCAGATTCAGAGCATTGCACTAGCTGGAGGAAATCTACGCACAGCAATTACCTGCGGTCCAGAGAGTGTTGCAGAGAACGGTGCCTCTCTGCAAGAGTTCGTGGGCAACCTCTCCCGTGACCCTCTCGACCTGAAGAACCCGTCTCCTCGCCAACTTCCCAAGGATAGCAAGACCTTCTATCCTCTGCCTTACCAAGTTTACTATGGTGGATTGTCATTACCAACCACATCATACACTGCAGCGGAGGGTGCACCTCTCCAGATCCTGTCACAGCTCCTTACACATAATCACCTGCATCACGAGATCCGTGAGAAGGGTGGCGCATATGGCGGAGGCGCTTACTCCCGCGCCCTCGATGGTCTCTTTGGCTTCTACTCTTACCGTGACCCCAACCCTCAAAACACACTGAGCATTATGCGCGGTGCTGGGCAATGGGCTGTTGATAAGAAGTGGTCAGACCGTGACCTTGAGGAGGCCAAGATCTCTGTGTTCCAGGGAGTTGATGCCCCCAAGTCTGTGAACCAGGAAGGCATGGGACGGTTCCTCTCAGGCATCACTGAGGAGATGAAGCAGAAGAAGCGCGAGCAGCTTCTTGACGTAACCAAGGACCAAGTGCGCGAGGTGGCGCAGCGCTACCTCGTTGACGGACTGGCCAAGGGCGAAGGCAGAGTCGCTTTCCTTGGAGAGAAGCAGTCCTGGGTCGACGGCGAATGGAAGATCCGCGAGATGGATGTCAAGGGCGCCGAGTAAGGCTAAAAGAAATGATTATGAAGCTAATGACGACCTATAGTTGGAAGTATCAGCATGCTAGAGGCTTGGATGAGCAATGAGCAGCTGGAGTTACAGCTGTATGATGGCGTGTACGATGAAGTGTAAATTACACAGATGAACAAAGCATAAATGACCCTCCTCACGTTGCGTCGCAGCGGAACTTTCCACCCTATGTGAACACGAGGAATTTCGTGCCTCGTTACGCGTTCAGATACGATACATCTCTTTACCTTTGCAATGGTACAGAGACCACAGAGCAACGCAAGAGCAGATACAGCCCCTCTTTTTCATTTCTGTCTATCTTGATTTCTGGAAGCTACTTTCACCTTGGCATCTGTTGCGGGAACCTCGAGGCTGCGGAGCGAAAGCACCAAGTACGAGGAATTCTATGATTGGAGACTGGGGAGATTGTGGACGAAGGGAGTCGGTGTGATGGATGAAGGAGAGCTGGTAGCTCGTTCTATCAGAGCCGGAGTCCTTGAGCGATGGATTTACTGGACTAAAGAGCAGAGTACATGCATGTGATGTGTTACAGAGTGACCAACGTTGACATGCTGTGTGACTGTTGCAGGTTCTCGGACGGAAGAAGATGCCGATTCGTCTATTCGTATACGATGAGATACCTATAGAGAGGCATTAAAAAGGCATTGTTGACGGTGTCCTTTTGATGGAGAATATGACGATGGACAGTGATAGCCAGGGGTTGGCCAATGGTGCCTGACCGCGGAATAAGCTCCAGCCTTACGCGGTCCGTGGTCTTGTGCTGTTGTTTATTTACTGAGGGAATTATTGGGTCTTTATTATGCTAAATACCAAGGACATGACGCTTACAAGCCAGACATCATAGAGCAAGAAGACTCTAGGCCTCAATCCTAGGTGATAAAAACATTTAGGTAATTTACTCTAAGTTTAGGAAACTATTTACTGAGTTTATTTCAACACCATATATTGAGGCCTGATATCTTCTTCCCGTGCCTGTGACTCTTGACTCCGGCTCTGACTCTGTCGGTCAAGAAAAGCTTTCGAAAAGACCCGGAATGTAACGAACGAACGAACGGGCTTCTATACTGGGAAATGCACATGCACGGGCTGCATTGCATCCATGTATCGGTACATGATTCTGCATTTTTTCCAAGGCGTGGTGTCTTGTTCCCGAGACTCTGGAAGTGTCTGAGACCAATGGGATATTCTACCGCTGCTGGGGCTTTTTGGGTTTAGCGCGGGGTTTCTTTACCTTAGTTCTGCAGCATCGAGATGCTTCAGTTCATCCACCGCCAGTTGCAGTTGGAGATTATGTACGAGGTCAGGCCACGGAATTGTGACTGAAATTGTGATGAATTGTCAACTTTGGTTGTAGATAGAAATATATAGAGAGTACAAGTATTCAATACAATTATAATTAGGCGCCAGCTCTTCCAACTGCGCCACCGAATTGTGAATGTCCCCCTGTAAAGTACACGGTACGTACAGAGTTTACTGCCCCTCCACTCGTCAACGTCACAGTGGAGGGAGCGTAAAAATTTCTCTCTCCATTCTTTTCTTGGACCTGGACCTGGATCTGGACCTGCAAATGCAATTCAAACCTGCAACGGAAACGCAAACACTCCACTAATTTCTTCGAATCAGCAGAGCCCAAACTAAACTCGTCGACCTCTTTTTTTCTATCTTGGGCCAAGACTAGAGCCGACCAGATAAAAAGGCGGCCCCCCCATCTTTCTCTCCTCTTCGACAACTTGTCACGTTTCATCACGACAATTCCTATATTCTTTAAATCTTGCTCCAACGCCTCCCCGTTGACACGAAACCCGTTACAACTTTGAGCACTTTACATCTGCTCAAACTCCTCACCAGACTCGACCCGCCTTTGGTCTCTTAAAGGCACCGCCTTCACCACGGCTCCTCCGGCCGTGAGCTTCGTCAGTGACAAAGATTTCAGCCTCTGCAAGCCCTCTCACACCATCAACGCGATCCCCCCTCCCGCTACTATTGCTGCTCGACGATAAGCTCCTCGATCTCTCCGTCTTGCACGACCCTCGATCCGACTACACTCCCCCGTCGTTCTTCGACACCCGTCAGCTGCCGCATAGGAGGTTTACAGAGGTTCTTCCTCTAGCCGAGGAAGAGTCGAGGAGGCCTCGCCAGTCCACTGAGGGATCAGTCTGCTACCGCTCACGACCGCCCTAACACCAGCTAAACACCCCCCGTACGTTCAAGCTTCACTCTACTATATATACTTTTCTACAAAGTATCGTCTTTCTCTAGTCCACGGACTTAAATCCCTCTCTCAACTTCCCAACGAACCCCCGCAACTGTTTGGGATATGGTTATGGCAACGGCTGTCCTCGACACCTACAATCATAATGTCAATCACCCTCATATCGCATTAAAGAAACCCCTGCTTCAGGAACCTCTTGAGCAATATGGCGTGATTACTCCAAAGCAACTCATCGGCCAGGCTCTCCACCAGCGCGTGGAGGCCATTGACCATGAGATGTGTGAGCCTGGCGACGAAGATACTTTCTTCGTTGCTGACCTCGGAGAGGTCTACCGCCAGCATCTTCGCTGGAAGAAGAATCTCCCTCGGGTCCGGCCCTTCTATGGTGAGTACGAATCTCGCCAATATGCTGTGATACATACTAACAAGCACCAGCCGTCAAGTGCAACCCCGATCCTCAGATCATCAAACTTCTGTCTGAGCTCGGAACCGGCTTCGATTGTGCCTCCAAGACCGAGATTGAGCAGGTCCTGTCCGCAGGACTTAGCCCCGACCGCATCATCTACGCCCAACCCTGCAAGACCAACTCGTATGTCCGATACGTCAAGTCTGTGGGCGTCAAACAGATGACTTTTGACAATGCCGATGAGCTCTACAAGATCGCAAAGCTCTACCCAGGAGCTGAGCTCTTCCTTCGCATCATGACCGATGACAGCGAGTCTCTGTGCCGCTTCAGCATGAAGTTTGGTGCCGCAATGGACACCACTGAGGGACTTCTCGCTCTGGCCAAGGATCTTGGTCTCAACGTTGTTGGCGTCAGCTTCCACGTTGGATCTGGTGCTTCCGATCCCCTCGCCTTCTACAAGGCCGTTCGCGACGCCCACACCGTCTTCCAGCTGGCCCACGAGTTCGGCTTCAACATGCGCACCCTTGACGTTGGTGGTGGCTTCAGCGGCGATACCTTCGAGACCATGGCTGCCGTCCTCGGTGGCGCCCTCGACGAGTTCTTCCCGCCTCACAGCAACATCGAGATCATTGCTGAGCCTGGCCGATACTACGTTGCCACCGCCTTCACCATCGCCTGCAACATCATCGCTCGCCGAACTGTTGAGGACCCCACTCTCGATGGCAAGGGCTACATGCTCTACGTCAACGATGGTGTTTACGGCAACTTCTCAAACATCATGTTTGACCACCAGCAGCCGATCGCCAAGGTTCTCCGCGCCTCCGGCAAGACCCTCTTCGAGACCACCGCTGCCCACCCCACTCCCGAGGGCGAGGGTTTCGAGTACTCCGTCTGGGGTCCTACCTGCGATGGCATCGATCGCATCACTGAGAGCACTCGCTTCGACTCCATTCTCGATGTCGGTGACTGGCTGTACTTTGAGGACATGGGTGCCTACACAAAGTGCTCTGCCACTCAGTTCAACGGCTTCTCCAACGCCCACGACGTTATCTACGTCTGCAGCGAGCCCGGTGCTAAGGCCCTTCTCGGCCTGTGATCTCAATCACTTCTTGCACCTCAATGGCTAGCGAAACCATTTCTTTCGTGTTCTCTTTGGAGAATCCTTTTTGTTCGTATGTTTTGAATCTCATAATGGGCCGATGACAATAGCAACACAAAAGTTGACAGTCAATGTTTGAAAACGAGAAAAGAGCTAGATAGACGGATTTTAGATTTTAATTAATTCCTGAACTGTCAACCTCGGACACCTCTGCAGCCCCTCTTCCGAGACATGTCGTACGACAGCACCAGCATTTGATACAACTCACTGGATGATACAGATCTTCTTAGGGTCTTTATTGTTTGACTAAATTTACACATGTTTAACCCCTGAGACTAAAAAGATATTGTCCTTGATATCTTTAGGCGGAGCATCGTTACTAATGCCAACTCCAAACTCCATGCGGACTTCTAGCATGCCTGATGACCAATGCCAAATACTGTACATGATCATATCTCCATGTTTCGTGTTTTCATGAAAATAATCAAGTCTTTGTCGGGGTTTTCGCCCCTTGCTCTGTGCCGTTGTCCCAGTTCGTCTATGTACCACGGAAGAGGAATTGCATGTCCTGGGGGGTGAGTGATTCCATAGCCTTGGTGTCGGAGTTGACAGTGGAGTGAATCATGTTAGTCTTCTTCTCCTGAATCAACACCATTCGGCTTTCCACAGAATCCTCGATACACAAGCGCGTGATAGTGCAGGGTCGACTTTGGCCAATGCGATGGCATCGGTCAGCGGACTGCCACTCGGCGGCCGGATTCCACCATCTATGTAATTGTTAGCAGTTACTCAGATGACAATGCTCGTTTCAGACACTTACGGATCAACAATGAACACTCGAGAGGCTTCGGTAAGGTTCAGTGCCACGCCGCCAGCCTTGAGAGAAACCAGGAAGCATTCAACGTCCACGTTGTTCATGAAATGTTCGATCGACGCCTGTCGTTGGGCAGGTGTCATGCTACCATCGAGCATGACTGTAGTGATACCAGCCCGGCGGAGACGCCACTCGATGAGCTGCAGCATGGTAGTAAACTGAGAGAAAATGATCGACTTGTGTGAGGCGTTGTCGGAGCGAAGTTTGTGGAGCTCATGAACAAGAAGTTCAATCTTGGAAGAGGAGGTCCAGTTCTCCATCTTGATTCGATTGATGATGGAGCTTTTCTTGACGAGAGTCTCATCTTGCTCCATCTCTGGCTGTTCTAGGTCGATCTGGAGGCGGATGTGACAACGGGGGCAATCAGGTTGATCAGTAGAGCGAACGTAGCTACCAACACAGGCTCTGCAAAAGTCATGCTTGCACTGACTACGAATTGCGTCTTCGGCAGGCTCATCGCAGATGCAACAAACGAGCACGTTTTGTCCTCCTTCAGCGTTCTTCTTTGTGATAAGATCAGGGTGATCAGCAACTTGTCTCATCTGCATAATGAGGCCAAAAATGTTGGCATAATTGTTCAAGAGAACACCCTGGGCGACATACGTATCAAACTTACGCTGGCCGTTCGTCATGATACTGTTCGCGAAGTCGTTTTCCTCTTCTCCGAAAAACTGTCGGTCAACATAAACCTCCTTGACGGGAAGTTCCATAGAGTTAGTATGGTCTTTCTTTAAACGACGCAGCATGATACGATCTGTCATCAAACGCAGTCTATCGAAAGCCGTTTTGCCTGCGCCTAGATTCCCATATTTCTGAATAGGATTCAGTAGCTCTTGATTGAACAGAGAAACATGTTGCACTCCCGGATGATTGCAGCCCTTACAACGACTGTTCTCGTCCATTGACCATTCAAGCGTGGAGCATGGGCACTGCTTGCAAAGATACGATGCAAAATCTTCGACTTCTAAGAAACGAATTAGAGAGAAGAACTCTCCGATGCGGTTCTGCAAAGGTGTGCCCGTCAGACACCATCGGTAGGTGGTTTTCAGAGCAAAGCATGCTTTGGCTGTCATGGTGGTGCGTGTCTTGATACAGTGTGCTTCGTCCAGAATAACTCGATGGAAATCGATTGCATGAATGGCACTCTTTTCCTTGTATATGCCATCCTTTCGCTTGAACCCCTTTTCCTGCTTGCGATAGACTGACTCGAGACTGTTGTACGACATCATGATAACGTCGAATTTCTTGAGCTCCCTCACGGTGATCCCCTTGGTCTTTTGGTTTGTTCCATGGAAAACAAATGTGTTCAAGGCGCCATCTGTGTAAGACTTGATCTCCTGCTGCCATTGCATGAGCGCAACAGGGGGCACGAGAACCAGGGACGGCTTTCCCACACGATAATCAGACATGATCAGAGACACAGCCTGGATCGTCTTGCCTAATCCCATCTCATCACCGAGTAAGCCACCTTTGTACTTTCCCTTCTCCATCTCCATCATCCAAGCAAGGCCTTCAAGCTGGAATGGCTTGAGTTGGCGTGAAATTCTTTCCGGTTGTGCAGCCTTCTCAGGCTTAATCACTGGCTGCTTTGCAACCTTGTCCCACATGTCTATGATCTCAGGATGGTGTTTCTCCAAACGGTCTCGCTCTCTACGCGTACGTCTGCTCTCACCCGTGTTCCTGAAAGCCCTTCGACTGTTGGAGATACTCGCGATTTGGTCCGTGTTATCGGCGCCATCAGCCTCATCATCGCTACTACTCAAGTCGATATAGTCGCCATTGTTATCAGTTGCAAAGTCTGTAGACTCGGCGTCACCCAAAGCGTTTTCCAATGCATCGAGTTCATCGCCAGATGGGCCATCAGCTTGCGTAGCCTTCCCTGCGGAACGGGAACCAGTCGCACTAGGTGCCTTGGCACGGGGTATAGTGCGTGCCATGGGACGTGCAGGTCGCTTTCCTGCCGCTTTCCTCGACATGGCCATTGGAACGTCTTCATCATCACTAGAGATTTCTTGAGCTGCTCCCTCGTCACTGGCGTCATCATCGGCAAAGGATTCATCCTCAAATGAGCTCAATGATGAGCCGCTGTCCAGGCCAAGGCCTTGGGCTATCTCCGCATCCATGTCGATGTCCTCATCATCTGAGCAGGGGATAACTTTAGGCTTTTTTGCTGGGCGACCACGCTTGACGGTAGAGTCAGTCAGAGTCGATGCTCGTTCACGTTTGACAGAAGTCTGACCGGGAGTGCTGAAACCAATGGAAAGCGAAGGTCTAGCACTTCTTCGTAGGGGAAATGATGATGATGCGACACTAGGCGCTTGCTTGAATTCTTCATCCTGCAGGCGACGAGCTACTTGAGCGTCTCGAGAATTATCAAAACCCTCGTCGTCCGAGTCCTGAATGACCATCCGGCCGTTATTGGCTCTCGAGTTCATGGCATATGCGCTCTTTCGCAGGCCTCTCTCACGGTCAATGGGGCGAGAGGTAGAAGGAGCAGGAAGTTGGACTTCGAAGATAGCTGATTTGTCATGCTCGACTGCTGCTGGGGTTGGCACCTTGCTAGATGCAGGAGTTGAATACTCGCTCCCTGTATCTGGGTCTAGTGGTGTGGGAACTGATGACACGGACTCGCTCTCAATGACGGGTGCTTTGCTTGGGCGGCCACGTCGTTTAGTGGGAAGTGCGATGTCAGAAGTAGGAAATTGAGACAGAGGTGATGCCTCGACTTCAGGGATGCTCTTCCTAGGCCTTCCTCGTGGGCGTGATCCAGAGGGAGCATCCTGGGGAAGATCTACAGCTGAGGTGGGAGTTGGTATAGACGAAGCAGCCTGACTTCTAGTCCTGGCTGAGCGGGTCACTCGGTTAGAAGCAGTAGATGTATCTCTAGAAGCTAGAATTTGTCAGTGAGAAAAAATGACCAGCTATGGCATCAGACTTACCATCTGCTGGAGTGATGGGCGTACCCCGAGTGGAAGGGCGACCTCGAGGCATGATGTCAGTTGGTCCAAAGGAATGTTCTGCTGATTTGGAATCGATACGAGATGAGACGGCGTATCGCCCTCTAAATGGGACTCTCGAGCGCGAAGCTGCACGATGAAGGACAAAGATTGAAAGACTTCGGGTGTGTTTTCTTTCAGGAAATTAAAATCAAAAGATGGGAGCCTGGTGGAAGGCAAAGGGTGGTGGTTGCACCCCTGTCTGTTGGCAGCCGTGAATGCAGTGTTGGGCAGTGACCGTGAATAGATACAAATTGATTGACTGCGGGCAGCAGCAAAAGAACAATCACACAAAGAAACGAGCGATGTTAACAGAATCTTTTCAATGAGACGAGAAAGACCACGAATGGATGAACAATGAAAGCGTGAGGATGAAGGGGAAAAGTCAGATAAAGTCAAAGGCAAATCGCCACCAGCTCCTTTTTTCGGGGCGTTGCTTCCCGCCGTCTGATACCCCAATTCACGATTCACAGTGTCAGAAAGAGCACCCCGCTACGCGCATGCACGTGTCAGGGACAAGGGGGGTTTGATTGTCGATCTGATTGGGGTGCATCGTTCCTGGCAGGATCGGGGACAGAAAACATTGGTCAATCCCACTTACAAGAACAGTTGGCAATAAGTTGCATGCTGCAATAATTGTTCATTTATAAGTCATCTATAACAAGACTTATATTGCTAGAAGCCCAAACTTATGCTAAATCTATAACAAGTTATATGAGTTACCCAAGGCTTTTTGTCATTCAGGATCAAGCCCCCGAGTTTTCTTTCCTTCCCAGGCCGCCGATGAATTCTGGACCCTGACGCTTAGATCCTCGATTTGCCACTCCAAGGGGCGATTGCATCACGTGACACGGTGTCAATCTCGTGAAAGACTGCGCAAGCGGGAACGCCACTGCACGGCGCTGCAATTGCCCGAGCTGCTTCAGACTTTACTTTTTTTGCGCCAACTCCTTTTCAAGCGTGAATCTCCCCTCCCTTTTATTGTCTTGGTGGGTGAAGTGGTCGCCGAAGATTGAGGAATCTTTTCTTGTGTAAATTTTCTCACTTTTCTAGGCCACTCAGTATTCATCCATCATGTACGTTTTTCTCATACCCATAGAGTGGCGATAAGCTTATCATGTACAGGG